AAAAACACAGCACAAGAACTTTGCAAAGCATACACAAGTTTCAATAGCTGAATTGACCAAGCAGAAGAAAGGATATCAGAGATTGAAGATCAACTAAATGAAATAAAACAAGAAGGCAGGATCAGAGAAAAACGAGTGAAAAGAAATGAACAAGGCACCAAGAAATATGTGATTATGTGAAAAAAAAAAAAACCCTAATCTACGCTTGATGGATGTACCTGAATGTGATAGGGAGAATGAATCCAAGCTGGAAAACACTCTTCAGGATATTATCCAGGAGAACTTCGCCAACATAGCAAGGCAGGACAACATTCAAATCCAGGAAATACAGAGACCACCACAAAGATATTCCTCAAGAAGAGCAACCCCAAAGCACACAATCGTCAGATTCACCAGGGGTGAAATGAAGGAAAAAATGCTAAGGGCAGCCAGAGAGAAAGGTCAAATCATCCACAAAGGGAAGCCTGTCAGACTCACAGTGGATCTCTTGGCAGAAACCTTACAAGCCAGAAGAGAGTGGGAGCCAATATTCAACATACATAAAGCAAAGAAACTTCAACCTAGAATTTCATATGCAGCCAAACTAAGCTTCATAAGTGAAGGAGAAATAAAATCCTTATGGGCAAGGAATTTCTAAGAGATTTTGTCACCACCAGGCCTGCCTTACAAGAGCTCTTGAAAGAAGCACTAAACATGGAAAGGAAGAACCAGCACCAGTCACTGCAAAAGCATATCAAATGGTAAAGACCAATGATGTGATGAAGAAACTGTGCCAACTAATGGCCAAAACAACCACCTAGTAACAAAATGGCAGGATTAAATTCACACATAACAATATTAACATTAAACATAAATGGCCTAAATGCCCGAATCAGAAGACACAGACTGGCAAACTAAACAAAAAGTCAAGACCCATAGGTGTGCTGCATTCAGGAGATCCATCTCACATGCAAAGACATACATAGACTCAAAATAAAGGATGCAGGAAGATGTACCAAGCAAATGGAGAGCAAAAAAAAAAGCAGGGGTTGCAATTATAGTCTCTGATAAAATGGATTTTAAACCAACAAAGATCAAAAGAGACAAAGAAGGGCATTACATAATGGTAAAAAAGATCAATGCAACAAGAAGGGCTAACTATCCTAAATATAAATGCACCCAAAACAGGAGCACCCAGATACATAAAGCAAGTTCTTAACAACCTACAAAGAAACTTAGACTCCCACAAAATGAGAGTGGGAGATTTTAACAATCCGTTGTCAATATTAGACAGATCAACAATACAGAAAATAAACAAGGATATCCAGGACTTAAATGCAGATCTGGACCAAGCAGACCTCATAGACCTCTACAGAATTCTCCACCCCAAATCCACAGAATATACATTCTTCTCAGCACCACATCACACCTACTCTAAAATTGACAACATAATTGGAAGTAAATCACTCCTCAGCAAATGCAAAAGAATAGAAATCATAACAAACAGTCTCTCAGACCACAGTGCAATTAAATTAGATCTCAGGATTAAGAAACTCACTCAAAACCACACAACTACATGGAAACTCAACAACTGGTTCCTGAATGACTGCTGGATAAACAATGAAATGAAGGCAGAAATAGAGACGTACTTTGAAACCAATGAGAACGAAGACACAACATACCAGAATCTCTGGGACAAACTTCCCCCCAGCAGTGTCTGAAGGAAAATTTATAGCACTAAATGCCCACATGAGAAGCGAGGAAAGATCTAAAACTGACACCCTAACAACACAATTGAAAGAGCTAGAGAAGCATAATCAAAAAAATTCAAAAGCTAGCAGGAGACTAAGATCAGAGCAGAACTGAAGGAGACAGACACAAAAAACTCTTCAAAATGTCAATAAATCCAGGAGCTGTTTTTTTCAAAAGATCCACAAAATAGACTACTAGCCAGACTAATAAAAAAGAAAAGAGAGAATAATCGAGTAGATGCAATAAAAAAAAAATGGTAAAGGGATATCACCACTGATTCCACAGAAATACAGTCCACCATCAGAGATTACTACAAACAATTCTGTGCTCATAAACTAGTAAATCTTGAAGAAATGGATAAATTTCTGGACACTTACACCCTCCCAAGATTAAATGAGGAAGATCATGAATCCCTGAATAGACCAATAACAAGGGCTGGAGTTGAAGCAGCAATTTATAGCCTACCAACCAAAAAAAGTCCAGGTCCAGATGGGCTCACAGCCAAATTCTACCAGACGTACAAGTAGGAAGTGGTACCATTCCTTTCAAAACTCTTCCAAACAATACAAAAAGAGGGAATCCTCCCTAACTCATTTTATGACACCAACATAATCCTGATACCAAAACCTGGCAGAGACACAACCAAAAAGGAAAACTTCAGGCTAATATCCATGATGAACATAGATGCAAAAATCTTCAATAAAATACTGGAAAACTGAATGCAATAGCACATGAAAAAGCTTATTCATCACAATCAAGTAGGCTTCATCCTGGGGATGCAAGGTTGGTTCAACATATGCAGGTCTATCCACATAATCCACCACATAAACAGAACCAAAGACAAAAACCACATGATTATCTCAATAGATGCAGTGAAGGCCTTCAATAAAATTCAACAGCCTTTTATGCTAAAAACTCTCAATAAACTAGGTATTGATGGAACATTTCTCAAAATAATAAAACCTATTTATGACAAACCCACAACCAATATCAAACTTCATCGGCAAAAACTGAAAGCATTCCCTTTGAAAACTGGCACTAAAAAAGGATGCCCTCTCCCACCATTGCTATTCAATATAGTATTGGAAGTTCTAGCCAGAGCAATCAGGCAAGAAAAAGAAATAAAGGGTATTTGATTAGGAAAAGAGGAAGTCCAATTGTCTCTATTTACAGATTACATGATTGTATATTTAGAAGACCCCATTGTCTCAGCTCAAAATCTCCTTAAGCTGATAAGCAACTTCAGCAAAGTGTCAGGATACAAAATCAATGTACAGAAATCACAAGCATTCCTATACACTAATAACAGACAAACAGAGAGCCAAATAATAAGCAAACTCCCATTCACAATTTCTACAAAGAGAATAAAATACCTAGGAATACAACTAACAAAGGATGTGAAGGACCTCTTCAAGGAGAACTACAAACCATTGCTCAAGGAAGTAAGAAAGGACACAAACAGATGGAAAAACCTTCCTTGCTCATGGTTAGGAAGAATCAATATTATGAAAATGGCCACACTGGCCAAAGTAACTTATAGATTTAATGCTATCTCCATCAAGCTACCATTGACCTTCTTCACAGAACTGGAAAAAAATAACTTTAAACTTCATATGAAACCAAAAGAGAGTCTGCATAGCTAAGACAATCCTAAGCAAAAAGAACAAAGCTGGAAGCATCATACTACCTGATTTCAAACTTTACTACAAGGCTACAGTAATCAAAACAGCATGGTACTGGTACCAAAACAGAGATATAGACCAACAGAACAGAACAGAGGCCTCAGAAGTAATGCCAGACATCTACAACAATATCACCTTTGACAATCCTTACAAAAACAAGCAATGGGGAAAGGATTCTCTGTTTAATAAATGGTGTCGTGAAAACTGGCTAGCCACATGCAGAAAGCTGAAACTGGACCCCTTCCTGACACCTTACATTAAATTAATTCCAGATGAATTAAAGATTTAAACATAAGATGTAACACCATAAAAACCCTGGAAGAAAACCTAGGCAATACCACTCAGGGCATAGGCATAGGCAAGGACTTCATGACTAAAACACCACAAGCAATGGCAACAAAATCCAAAATAGTCAAATGGGATCTACTTAAACTTAAGAGTTTCTGCACAGAAAAAGGAAGAATCATTAGAGTGAACTGACAACCAACAGAATGGGGAAAACTTTTTGCAGTCTACTCATCTGAAAAAGTACTAATAACTAGAATCTACAAAGAACTAAAGAGATTTATAAGAAAAAAAACAAAAGTAGGCAAAGGATATGAACAGAAACTTTTGAAAAGAAGACATTTATGAGGCCAGCAAACATATGAAAAAATGCTCATCATCACTGGTCATTAGAGAAATGCAAATCAAAACCACATTTGGATAACATCTCATGCCAGTTAGAATGGTGATCATTAAAAAAATCTGGAGACAACAGATGCTGGAGAGGATGTGGATCATCTGTTGGTGGGAGTGTAAATTAATTCAACCATTGTGGAAGACAGTGTGGTGATTCCTCAAGGATCTAGAAATAGAAATAGCATTTGACCCAGCAATCCCATTACTGGGTATATATCCAGAGGATTATAAATTGCCCTATTATAAAGACACATGCACACGTATGTTCATTGTGGCACTGTTTACAATAGTATGTTCATTGTGGCACTGTTTACAATAGCAAAGACCTGGAACCAACCCAAATGCTCATGAATGATAGACTACACAAGGAAAATGTGGCACATATACACCATGGAAGACTATACAGTCATAAGAAAGGATGAGTTCATGTCCTTTATACAGACATGGATGAATCTGGAAACCATCATTCTCAGCAAACTGACACAAGAACAGAAAAACAAACCGCATGTTCTCACTCATAGGCGACTGTTGAACAATACGAACACATGGGCACAGGGAGGGGAGCATCGGGCACAGGGAGGGGAGCGTTACACACTGGGGTCTGTTGGGGGGGTGGGGATTAGGGGAGGGACAGCAGGGGGTGGGGAGGTTGGGAAGGGATAACATTGGGAGAAATGCCTGATGTAGGTGACTGGGGGATGGAGGCAGCAAACCATCATGGCATGTGTGTACCTATGCAACAATTCTGCAAGATCTGCACATGTACCCCAGAGCTTAAAGTACAATTAAAAAAAGACACAAGAACATATATGATTACTGCATCCCAATTCACAGTTGCACAGCTATAGAATAATCTAAGTGCCCATCAACCAATGAGTGGATAAAGAAAATGTGATATATACACACCATTGAATACTACTCAGCCATAAAAGGAATGAAATAATGTCTTTTGCAGCAACTTAGATGGAGCCGGAGGCCATTATTCTAGGTGAATTAACTCAGGAATGAAAAACCAAACACTGTATGTTCTCACTTATAAGTAGTAGCAAAGCTATAAATACACAAAGGCAAATAGAGTGATATAACAGACTTTGGAAACTCAGAATGAGGAGGGTGAAAGAGGGGTGAGGGATGAAAAACTACGTATTGGCTACAATGTGCACAACTCAGGCAGGGGTTGGGGGTGCACTAAAATCTCAGAATTCACTGCTATGTAATTCAACCATGTAACCAAAAGCCACGTGTACCCCAAAAGCTATCCAAATAAGAAAAAAAAATTTTAAATGTATTAATAAGTGCATAATTCTCTAACACAAAAGAATAAAACTTCTGTACACCACTAGCAGAGTGTCCTAAAAGAAACAGGCAGCTGGGAATATACAGTATTTGAGTGTGTGAGAGTCAAAATATCCTCACCCACAGAAGAACACCATGAATTAGAAACAAGTTACGTAACTAGTTTTATGTGACATTCTAAGTTGTCACATATAACATGTGTTACATGATTTTATATATATATATATATATATATATATATATATATATATATATATATAAATAAATTGTCAGTATAAATTACCAGAATTGGCCCAAGAAAAAGTGAACAAAAATAAAAAACCTAATTATAAAAAAAGAAATTGTAAAAGGCTAACTACCAAAACTTTGTAACAAACATCATACTTAACAGAGAAACTGTAGACATATTTTTTAAGACTAAGAAAAAAATATTAGCTATGACATACTGTACAATTTCTCCTTAAAACAATAAAGTGAAGACAAAGAAATAAAAATTTTGATTTGTTAATATTATTTTTGATTGACAAATTATAATTATATACATTTATGGGATACAATGTGATGTTTTGCTATATGAATACAATGTGGAATGATTAAACCAAACTAACATATCCATCACCTTGATTACCATTATTTTTTATGGTGAGATATTTCAAATTTGTTCTTAGTTATTTTGAGACATATAATACATTATTACTGGTTATAGTCATCCTGCTATGCAATAGATTTCAAAATCTCTTCCTCCTCTCTATCTGAAACTTTGTACCCTTTGATCAACGACTCCCCATTCCCTCGCTCTCCCACACCCCACCGTCTGGAAACAACCATCCTATCTCCTTCTTCTATGAGATCAACTTTTTTAAATTCCACATATATTTATCTTTCTGTTCCTCCCTTAGTTCACTTAGCATTGTGTTCTCCAGATTCATCTATGTTGATTCAAATGATAGGATTTCCCCTTTTTAAATGTTTAATCGTGTTCCATAGTGTATATACACATTTTCTTTATTAATTTATCCCTTAATGGACACTTAGGTTGATTCTGTATTTGGCTACTGTGAAAATACTGCAACTCCATGGGAGTACACATGGGAACAACGTGTATCTGTGAATTCCACATTGATTTCAGTTCCCTTGGATAGATACCCAGACATAGGATTGCTGAATCACATGGCAGTTCTATTCTTAGTTTTTTGAGGAGCCTCCATAGCATTTTTCATAATGGCTGTACTAATTTACATTTCCACTAATGATATACAAAAGTTTCCTTTCTCCATAAAATCAAAAACATTTATCTTTCACCTTTTTGATAAAAGCTGATCTAATAGGTTTAAGATAATACCTCATAGTGGTTTTAGTTTGCATGTCCCTTATTATTAGTGATGCTGAGCATTTTTTCACATACCTGTTGACCATCTGTATGTCTTCTTTTTAGAAATGCCTGTTCAGGTCTTTTGTTCATTTTTTAACATTATTGGGTTGTTGAAGTTCCTTAAATATTTTGAATATTATCCCCTTATCAGATGTATGGTTTGCAAATATTTTCTTCCATTTTGTAGGTTGTTTCTTCACTTTATTCACTGTTCTCTTTGCTGTGAAGAAGCTTTATAGTTTAACGCTATCCCATTGTCCATTTGTGCTTTTATTATCTGTGCTTTCTGGGTTTTTCCCTTCCTTCTGCTGACTTTGAGCTTATTTTGTTCTTCCCTTCTAGTTCATTGAAATATAACATATAGTTGTTTATTGGAGATATTTTTATATTTTTAAATGCCTGTTTTCAATAGGCATTTACTGCTATAAGTTTTCCTTGTAGACCTGTCTGCTGTATTCCATAAGTTTCCCAGAGTTTGGGGTGTGGGGCTGAATAGTCCACTCTCTAATCACGTAGATGATTCTGCAGCAACCATTCCCATCCAGAAGCTATGCCAGAAATCCCAGCCATTAGCTGTGTCTTTGGCATACAAAAAGATGCTTACTATTTCAGAGATCTCAAGGATTTTAGTAACTGCATGCCAAAAGACATATATCTTGTTATAAATCACAATATCACAGCAATAAATAAGAAGTATCACAGAAAAAATGAGTCAGAAAGTCTTCTCAAACACACACACACATATACACAAAGAAAACGAACAGTGTATCTGACTCTATCAAAATTTAAAACATGTGCATGTCGGAAGACCAGAAGACAACATATAAAAAATCAAAATATAACCAATGAGCAAGAAAAAACTAATTGCTTCACCCAAAGCAAACAATAGATAATTTTCTAAGATATTAAATGACTAGTCTAAAAGTTATGAAAAAGATAAACAAAATATGAGCAAAGATAATAAAAGAGGAAAATTCACAGAAACAATTCAAATGATTCATAAACATATAAAATGATGTTCAACCCTCTGATTAAAAGCTAAATGAAAATTAAATAACAGCGGGATAACACTTTGCACCCATTTGATTTGCAATACTATCTGAAACTATCAAATGTTGGTGAGATTGTGAGCAATCAGATATCCCCAAGGACTGCTAGTGGATGTTGAAAGTGTAAATTAAAGAAGTCATTTCAGCTATCTTTATGAAAGTATTAGAATTGAAAATACCCAGTGAACCAAAAGTTTCAGTTCTAGATATCAATGTTTTTGAAAAAGAAGCCTCAGATGGGCCCAGGGTTTAAAACACAAAAACACTTCATTTCCATTTTCTTTCTGTAACTTTAAAACGTTGGAAATGTCCAGCAACAGGGGAATGGATAAATAAGATGTGATACATTTATAGAATAGAGCACTGACATAGTTTGGATAGTTGTCCTAGCCTAAATCTCATGCTGAAATGTAATCTCCAGTGCTAGAGGTGGGACCTGGTGGGAGGTATTTGGATCATGAGGAAGGATCCCTCATGAATGGTTTGGGCCATCCCCTTGGTGACGTGAGCTCTCACTCTGAGTTCACATGAGATATAATTGTTTAAAAGTATGTCACACCCAACATACTTTATCACAGTCAACTTGCTTTCCAGATTGGGTGGGCCTGTTCCCCCTTTGCCTTCTGCCATAACTGAAGGCTCCCTGACGCTTCACCAGACGCTGAGCAGATGCCAGCACCATGCTTCCTATAAAGCTCAAAGAACCATGTGCCAATTAAACTTCTCTTCCTTATAAATTACCAAAGCCCAGATAGATCTTTATAGTAATGCAAGAACAGCCTAATACAAGCAATTAAGAGAAATAAAGTAGATTTTTGTGTATAAATCTATCATCTGTAAAATGGACCATTGATTAGACAAAGCCAACAATGAAGTAAAACATACATATGAAGTATTCCATCAAAATAAGAAATACACAGGATTGCAGCAAAATCCGAAGCAGCTTCTACTATTAGCATTTGAGTGGGGCCTTCAAGTAAGTGTCAGATAGGTTGCTATCTACTGAGCCTTATGAGTACAGCACCTGGGTACCCAACATATTTTTAGTACATGTTCTACTTTGTATAAGACGAGAACATTTTACTTTTAAAGCCACCGTAGGAGCGAGCTTGAGCTCCCATCTTTTTGGCAATGTCAATACGATGCCTCTACTTAAGATCAGAGGCCATCTATTCTGAAAACACCATCTGCCTTCTTCCTACTCTTCTTGTCCCCTAGCCTGACCTTTCCCAGCTGCTTCATCTTCCCATCCTCTCCCTTAAGCACCCTATTTCAGGTGAAATAAGAAGAGAAATATTTTGTAAGAGAGTTGGTGATGAGAAAGCAATTCTTTTTCTGCCCCTCTTCCTATCATATAATATATAATGATATATACATATATAATATATATAACAAGAAGCATTTCACAAAGCAACAGAACATCACATCACGGAATTTTATAAAGCAAGGTCATATTCTATTTTCAAAACCATGTAGAGTGACATTTGTCAATTTGTAGAAGCCCCCCTCCACCTTGAGCCAGAGTCCTCTCCCCATTTGTACCTTCCTCCTCTTCCAAAATCGCAGAGGCCACCTGAGACACTAGACATATATCAATCATCCTAAGTTCCACAAAGACTTGTCCAAATCCAACATTGGTTTGTCCTTTCTAGAATTTGCTTTTTATTTTTATTTGGAATAATATTAATTTATCACATGCATTTATTGTCTCCTTTTTTTCAAGTAAAGAAAAGGGGCCATAATCATATTTTTACCTAAGTACAAGTTTAAGATGAAATGAAGAATCAGTACAACAAAGACTTCTTAGCAGAGGTAAGCTAAGGGTAGGGGCTTGTGCAGAAATAAGAGAATATGTAATCCCATTTTGACACAAGCTCATGAATCCAGAATCAATACACTGAAATAAAGTCAGATCATCAGTTTCCTTTGTAAACTTGAACTTAACTAAATGATTTGGATGAAATTAAACATAAAATTTTGGCTCTGAAACCACATTATGTAAACAATATTTCATATAGCAACAGAACATCAAACCAGGTAATTATACAAAGTGAAGAAAGCGTTTTCATGTGTTCAGAAATGTTTTGCATTAGTCTCAACATTTCCTACCTTCCCACAAAGAAATTAACATTTGGAAATGGTATTAAATTATTTAGTATTACTTGAGATCGAGCCCCATTTTGTTAGCACTTGAAAATTAAATGTGTAGCTAAGATGACCTGCATTTATGCTGATATTTATGTTATGCAGAACACATGATGTTTTGCCTAATAGCCCGATATGTTGTTCTTTGTCAATTTACTTAATCTATTTACACCTTTTCCCTGGCCAAAACCTCTCATATATATAATAACTCCTGTTTACTCAACTGACTATGGAGCTGACTTGATCATAGATTTGGCAGGCAACTGGCCCTTCTGTCCTTCCCTGAGATCACCTTATACTTCCTCCAATGAGAGTTGCAACAACTTGTTTCCTAGGAACTAGAAATTAAAAGCATATCAGAATTACATAACTAGCCAGAAAACACTTCATCATCTAAAGTGATACTTCCAATTTATAGAAACCTTTCCCTTTAAGCCAGAGTCCTCTCCTATTTTCACCTTCTCTCCCTTCCAGAATTGCAGAGGATATTTGAGATACAAGAAAGTAGCCATGACCCACAATGAGCACTCAGACCTACATGGGGACTCTGGCTAAGTCAGTCTTCCAAGATCATTCTAGTTTATTACTCTTTTAGAATAGCTCTGACTTGATTAAATATATTTTATAATGCTTAAAAAAAATGTGATGGCATTTTTGGAATGTTACTAGGTAACTTGGTCACTGCCTATAATTTTATCATTGATTATAAGTTGCTATAATTACTAGGAATCAGAGAACGGGATGATATACGGAAAAGCACTGGACTAGAAATTTTGGGTTCTTATACCATCCCTCCAAGCTATTTTCTCAGTTTCCTTAGTTAATTATATTAACCTCTCTGTACCTCAGTGAACTCATCAGTAAATGGGGAATGATGTTAACTCCTCCATCTACTACACAGTCTTTGTGAGCATCAAATGAGAGACTCCAAAGTAATTTGAAATCTACAAAGCACTTTGAAAATTCAACAAGTTACTTTGTATACCCTTAGTAGAACTTAGCAAAAATTTTAAGCCAACAATAATTAAAGAAAAAACTTTGCTACTGAGAAGCAGTCACCAATTTCTAGTTTACCAGCCTTAAAGTTTATTATTTAAATATGTTTTTATATGTGGATTGGATATGTAAAAGAAAAAGCTGTTTCTACATCAGTCATAGCTTTCTTTGGGTTAAAAGCATCACAAACCATTTAGATAACTTCACATTTATCTTTGTCTCCTCTTTCTCCCACATACTCTTTATCCAGCCAATCATCGAGTTCTCTTGAGATGTCACTTCATCTGTCTCTTCTCCCTCACACCCACTGGTACTCTTCACATAGTCAGGCCTATTTTAGCTGTAAGTGGCTTGGGAAGAAAAAAAAAAATGAATTATTTATAATTTTTTTAATTTCAGAAGTAACTCTAGCTTCAGGCATGTTTGGATTTAGGAGATAAAACAATATTGTCCTGACTCTGTTGTCTCCATCAAAGGGCTTTGCTTCCCCTGCTTACTTTCACAGGTCCTACACATGCAAAGGCAAAAAAAAAATAATAATAATATCTGGAAACAGTATCTCTCTCCCACTAACTTTTGTGGAGGTCCAGTGCTGAATCTTTGGGCTGACTAGGGTCCCATATCTTTTCTGGACTCGAGCCCTCTGATAGAAGAGTTGGAACGTACTCACGGCCAGCCTGAGTAGCATGCCTGCCACACCAACCCACCCACCTCCCATTCTTAGACCCCAGAAACTGGGTTCATCCCACCCAAAAACACATGGACTGAAAGTGGCTTTCCACTTCTTAGAAATGGTTTCCAAGTAATAATAATAATATTAGGAAGAAGAAGAAATGGAAGCTGGTCAAGCAAGGCGTCTGTCCATTATACCTGTCCTTGCTTAGATTCTCATAATCTACTATCTTCTTCCAAGTTTAATAAAATTTACCTAAGAATAAGTAGAAGAAACCACTTAGCACAATGTATGTGCTATGCTTTGAATGGCTGTCCCCTCCAAAACTCATGTAAGAAACCTCATCTCCAATGCGGCAGTATTGAGATAGGGTCTTTAAGAAGTCATTGGGTCCTAAGGTCTCCACCCTCAGGAATGTATTAATTCATTAATGGATTAATGGATTCTCATGGGAGTGAGACTGGTGGCTTTATACAAAGGGACAGACTCAAGCTACCACACTCAGCCAACTCACCGTGTGATGCCCTGCACCAGCTCAGGACTCAGCAGAGAGTCCCACAAGCCAGAAGGCCCTCACCAGATGTGGCCGTTTGACACTGGGTTTCTCAGCCTTCATAACTATAAGAAATAAATTCCTCTCCTTTATAAATTACCCAGTTTCAGGTATTCTGTTACAAGCGACAGAAAACAAAAAAAGACAGATTCTTACTAATGAAACTAAAGAGTATAAGCACCAAAAAACCTTAGTGTTAAAACTCCTGAAAATTAGGAAGGGGACACATACTGAGAACTGGTTTTTGTGCACAGCGTAAATAAGCAAGGTGAACTCAAAATCAGAAGAAAAATGACAGTTAAATTATGTAGTCTATTAATTTAGGTTCCCAGCAAACCAAAAGAAAAGATTTCAAGTGTAAGCAATTTATTTTTAGAGAATTAAGCATTAGGAGAGTACATAAGTAAAACTGTCTAAGGATAAAAGTTACATTTTCAAGCCAGCTAGCATTGGGCACTACTAGTGCCTAATATCTTAGAGCTAAGGAAAATTGCATAAAATATATGCCTACAAATTATCCAGCTAGAGGGGTAAGAAAGATGGGATTTTCGTAAACCAACTCCTATCATTCATTTTTTGAGGATTGAATTGGATATGTCAAGTGGGGTCAGGGCTAAATCCCTAGAACTTCCAGCATGGAGTTTGCATGGACAGACTAGTCTTCTGCTTAGTAGAAGTAAATCCTTCAGAAGAGGATATAAATACTGCCATTTGGAAGTCACGGACTCCTTGGAGCATGCTGAAATGATGAGGTCCAAAGAATATGGCTGAGGTACTGTCCCATATTGAATACTGGTGAGATAATTTGGCAGGCTGATGGCAGTAATGGCCCAACTCTCAGCTTCTTCCTGTACCTATGCCCTTTGCCCATGTGACTTTGCAGTCCCTCTCACTTTAGAGGAGTGTACTTCCTTGCACTTTGATTCTGAGTTTGGCCACATCACATGCTTTGACTATGAGGACAACAGCAAATGCATACAGAGGCTTGAAACAAATCTTCTGACACTCTCTTAATCCTCTGACTTTGCTGTGAGATTTACATGGGCTAACCTACTAAAGAATGAGACAAGGTAAAACAGAGTCAGGTTATCCCAGTCCCCCCTGATAAGTTATACTAGATCAGATAATATGCAACCAATCTCCACGCATGTGAGACCAGAAGAACCAAGTTGCTGGCCCACAGACTCATGCACTAAATAAATTTTTATTGTTTCAAGAAAACTAAGTTTTGTGTTGTTTATTATGCAGCATTATTATGTCAATATGTAATTAGTACCTAGAAGAAATGTGCTACTTGTTAAAAATGCACACTCTGAATGAAGAGACCACCTGCCCCCCAACACAGGTTTTGTGTGAGCAACATGGCTGTTTATTCACCTGGGTGAGGGTGGGCTGAGTCTAAAAAGAGAGTCAGTGGAGGGCAGTGGGATAGGATTTGGTTTTAAAGGTTTGGGACAGGCAGTGGAAAGTTACAGAAGTTAGTTTAGGGCAGTTTTTGCGAGCTGGGAGGGGGTTGTAGGGTTTGGACTCACAAGGTCTATTACAAAGTCCAATTGCCTTATCAATGAGGCAGGAATAAAGAACAATAGAGAATGTCTCAAGTTAATTAGGCACCATAGGGGTTGATTATTCTTCCTCTTTTCATGGTTTTCCAGTTACTTCAGATTTTCTAATTCTGGGAGGCCATCAGAGGTGTAAGTGCAGGTCACAGGATTCGCCATGGCATCCATGGTGCCGTCACTCAGCCTAAAAGACCTTACACTACTGTAGCATAAACCACACATATGCAGAATTAGCTTTGGATGAAGTCGGTAGCAAACAAGCTGGAAAAGTGGTAACGATACTACTAAAAAGGCCTGGAAAATAATGAGGCAACTGTTAGAACAAAGTGAAAAAATGAACACCCATGTTATGTCAGCATGAGACATTTGTTAGAACTGGTCACTTGAGGTAACTTGAAGATACAAAATGTACCTTATGAATTTTTAGACTTGATGTCCTGGTAGAATGTTGAAAATATCAGCTGACTCTTATCAGTTGCATATAAAGTACAACAAGAAAGAAACAAAGGTCAACAAAACACACACATGGTTCACAAGGAGAAATTGGGGAATTGAGACTCTAGAATTTGTTAGAATGGAAACTAAAGTTGTTTCTCATCTTTGCTGACTCATGTCAGAAAAAATTTCACATTAAGACTTGGAGGAGATAGCATGGGGAGAAATGACAGATACAGGTGAGGGGACGGAAGGCAGCAAAGCACACTGCCATGTGTGTACCTATGCAACAATCTTGCATGTTCATCACATGTACCCCAAAACCTAAAATGCAATTAAAAAAAAAAAAAAAAAAAGACTTGGCCTCAAGGTAAAGATAAAAATCAAGGGTGTGGCCATGGAATGTTGAAAGAATTAAGCCAGTGCCTAGCAGATGCTCTCAGTTGGAAAGAACGTTCAGGAAAATTCAAGGCATTGCTTCTCAATAACCCAATACACCCAAGGAGCAGTAGGTAAGGGTAAAAGCAGGACTGTAATTGGGCTTGAGAGACTATTATACTATGGACCAAGATCCGGCACTCTCCTCTCCCTGTCTCTCTTCTCTATTCCTCTTTCTTTCCCTTCTACCTTTTTCTCCCTCTTTCTTTCCCCCTCAGTTTTCCTCCCTCTCAGATTTATAAATATCCCCAAGGTATGGGCTAGAATCAGACCCAGGCTGGAATTAGAAATCTCATACCTCCTATCCTCTTCCACTGCAACCTCTTAAAAGCAAATCAAAGCTGTATTGTCGGATTAGCCTTGTCATATTGTTAGTTGCAGACTTCATTTGAGATTCCGTATGTCCTTTCGTGTTCATACGAATCAATATCTAACAGTTAACAAAGCAACAACAGCAAGGGCATGCTGCCCAGGCAATATGATTCAAGGGAAAGCAAGTGAAATAGTCAAGACTTTCCAACTTCAGGGGTGGGGAGTTGTTCAAAGAGAACCCTGGAACAATGCCCTTTTCAGAAATATATTTGAGAGGCTGAGGAATGGAGACTGAAAGTTTCATTTATCACTTTTGACTGGAGGAGAAGTCTGCATGTATGTAAACAGCAAAAAGCTCCAAGTCTTACA